TGGGCAAGGATTAAAACACAACAAAACAACCCCCTGGTGAGCTAAGACTTCAATCTCACTTGCTCTCTTAGACCTTTTGGAAGAAGAAAAATATTAATTAAAAGGTCCTATGGGGGAATTTCATGTCCTGTAATGTAAATAACATAGGACATATACGCTGTCCCTGAAAGTTAATGTATTTAAATCCCAGGAGTCCCTGGCTGGTGTGGCTCGGCTGGCTAGAGTCATCCCACACCTGAGAGGCTGTAGGTTCGATTGCTGGTCAGGGCCACACTCAGGTTGTGGCTTTGATCCTCAGTCGGGGCCTGTGTGGGTGGCAACCTATCGATGTTTCACTCTCACATCCACGTTTCTCTCTCTCCCTCTTCCTTCCTCTCTCTCTCAAAACAATCACTACCTTAATGAATAAAAAAAGTTAAATTAAATTAAAACAAAATCCCAGGAATCATTATAGCTTCAAACTCAAAAACACTTAGGGAAAACAGCAACACCTCCAGTCTTTGAAGCCAGAGAATAGCCTGCACACCACTTCCTCAAAGTTATCTGAAATAATTAACCCTGTTAGTGTCATTTTAGTTCACTTCAACAATTATTTATTAATGTTCAAGAGATAAAATATAGGACATTAAAAAATGGTATCTTGCACATCTAAGGATTACATAACATTATTAACCAATATTACCCCAACAAACTTAATTTTATTTATTTATTTATTTACTTATTTATTAATATATCTTTATTGATTTCAGAGAGAGGAAAGGAGAGGGAGAGAGAGAGATAGAAACATCAATGAGGAGAGAGTCATTGATCGAGCCCACAACCCGGGCATGTGCCCTGACTGGGAATCAAACCCCGATTGCCTGGATCCTAGGTTGACGCTCAACCACTGAGCCACGCCCGGCCGGGCTTAATTTTAAAATTGATTTGAGAGAGAGAAACATCAACTTGTTGTTCCACTTACTTCTGCATCATTGGTTGATTCTTGTATGTGCCCTGACCAGGGATCGAACCTGCAATCTTGGCACATCAGGATGACACTCTAACCAACTGAGCTACCCAGTCAGGCCCAATAAATTTAATTTTTAAAAAAAGGAAAAAGAAAAGTAAAAACAATAAAAAACCCAAAACAAATGAAATAACGTAGAATCTTCAAACTTTACATATGGTGTATACATTCTTTTGTGACTATCCAATATATAATTAAGAAAAAATAGAATATAGGCTCAGTGGGGTGAGGGCTGTCCCACGCACTGAAAGGTGGGGGCACATACCCAGGTTGCAAGTTTGATCCCTGGTTGGAGTGTGTGTGGGAGGCAACCAATTGATGTTTCTCCCTCTCTTCCTTTCCCTTACTCGCTCTTAAAAATAATCAATAAAAACATTATTTAAAGAATAAAATAAAATAAAAAGAATATAAAGTCCCTGTTCTTAAGGAGCTGGCAATGTATTTGGACCTAACACGTAATAAGCCCTGGGCTACAAGATCTCTGCCACTTGTTGGCTATTAGTCCTCACACAGCTCTAGGAACTGTGTCAGGCTGGCTTGACTTTCTAGAGGAAGCAGAGGCTCCAGAGGGTTGAGTGACTTGCTCCAGGACACACAGCCAGTGAGAAAGGCAGGTGGATTCAGGAGGAACAGTATATGGGGAGGAAATCAGGCATAGCTGCTCATACACATATGCAGGAAAATCATCTATTTATGTGTCCCCAAAGAACAGACAATCATAAGTGGGGTCACTTACCCGCCTTGCATACGTGGATAATCTCAAACCCGATATTTTCACCTTCTCTATCACAGTCGGTCCAGATGACCAGGGCCTGACACTGCCGAGTCTCTCGTTCCAGAGTTTTCTGAAGTTCCCGATTGGAAAAGAGCAGTGAGATCACAGTCCACAGAACAGTTACTTTGCACCTCTACACTGAACAGATCTGACTGAGCATTAATAATGCTCCTGGAATAGGCCAACTTGGTGAGAAAAAGAAACCAGAGAAAACTATTCTTACCAGTTCTAAGGATGGTGAAGAAATGAGTATAGTCCTCCAGTTTAGAATCACACTCATTAATGAGCTTCTAGAAGCCTGAGGCTTTAATGTAACTATACCAGCAAGAAACCTAAAACTCAGCTCTAATACACACATGTATAATTCTACTGTGTCTGGTTATGTTCTGGTTGAAAAATAATAAACCCCTAAATTTGGTTTCATCCCAAGGTTTCCCAGTTAGCACTAAACTAACTATAGGTGCTCTGACTGCCTGAAAACGCACAATTTACTGTCAAATGACCATTTATACACTTTGTAGTCTCTTCATTCTAACTAGAGATGGGGTGGGAACTAGAATTAATAATTTAACAACACTTGTTCTTAGAGTTTTATTTGAACAACTACTATTCATAAAAAGGCTGACTTCAGTTCCTTGGACACTTAGTTTAAATGGCCTCATCTTGGGAATGATTTTTTAAATCATGGTACTTAGTTTGGTGGAAAACCTTACCTCTGAATTTTAATGCACTCAAAATACAGAAACCACTCAGTTGAATTATTTTGTAATTGTTCAACTCCAGTGCCACATGTCTTCCAAAAGATCCTACCTTGATGTCTACAAAGTTCTCTGGGCAGTACTTCTCAATTTCTGCTTCAAAGAGGACAAGGGGATTGCAGCTCTGCCTAGAAAAGAAATGAAAACACAAAAAAACCTCACCTCAGCACAATGGAAAGTCCTCCATTTTAACAAGAAAAATTTGCTACAGTGCACTCATGGATGGATCCCTAACGGAGAAAGTCCGTGTGAAAATGCCAGAGGATTAAAAGCAAGGCTCTGACCCTCTGCATAACGCACTTTCCACTTCCCGTGACAATTAACAGGAGCTGCTAAGAAGAAATTCTAGATGCCTTTCATGCACACCTGCAACAGGACACATGCAATCCAATGACTGCATGAAAAAGTTCTGGCTATTTTGGGGAACACAACTAAAAATGGCTGTTTATTTTAAACATATGGTAAATCAGTTAATCCTAGGTTATTGCTATGGTTTCCACGGGGAGCCCCACCCCGCCCTGCCCCCCAATTCATATGCTGGAATCCTAACACCACAATGATTATGTTAGAAGGTGGAGACTTTGGTAGGTGATTCTGTCATAAAGGAGGAGCCTCATGAGTGGGATTAGTGTTTTAGAGACCACACAAAGCTCCCTAGACCTTCTACCAGGTGAGGACGCAGTGAGAGGCCAGGGGTCTGCAACCAGAAGGCCCTCATCCGACCATGCTGGGGCTCTCATTTCCTATGTACAGCCTCCGTAACTGGGAGAAGTAAATTTGTTGTTTATAAACCAGCCAGTCTGTGGTACTTCATTACAGCAGCCTGCACTGACTCAGAGAGTCATCTTAGTATTACAGGTTACACAGTAAGATCAACATGCCTCAAAAGTCCCGTAATATTTCACAACTTACTGTAATAATCTGAAAGCTCCCCCCCCCAGGAATTGTACTGACCATTTACGAAACTGCATCTGGAAATCATGAGCCAGCAAATGTCCAGAAACTGAAGTCATTATCATGGTAACATTCTAAATGGTAACAAACTCGAGTTAGTCATTTAGCAACTGTATTTTGCTACACCATTCAAATAAAAGGGAGAAACTTCTATTAAAGAAATAAAAGTGGTTGCAGGGGAGGGGGAGGAATGACTAGGTGGTACACAGAAGGGTAGTGAAAATACTCTGTATAATGATGGATATATGTTTACAGACACACTTTGTCCAAACCCATGGAAAGTACAACACGGAGTGAACCCTAATGTAAACTATGGACTCAGGTGAGTATAATGTGTCAAGGTAGGTTCCTCAAAGATAACAAATGTACCACTGTGACAAGGGATGTTGATAATGGGGGAGGCTGTGCATGTGTGGGAGCAGAGCATATGTGGGAACTCTCTGTACCTTCCCCTCAATTTTGCTGTGACCTGAAATTGCTCTAAAAAAATAAAATTTATCACACACACATACACACAAAACAGTTGATTGGCAAAAAAAACCCGTAAATATAGCTCTTTTAAGCCAAAAGCCATAGTAATACAATACAATCACCATTCTAATTCTAGTACCATGATGCTTTTTGTAGCATTTCCTCAAACTATTGTACATTAGCTTCTTTCTTATTATAAAGAGTTGAAAAGGTACCATATTTTATTAAAAAGACACTTCCTTACAAATGAGAAAATGATCACCTGTAATCAGGGATCTTTAGATCATAACAACAGTTACTCTTAAAAGACGGTGACATATTCCACAATGGCCAGACTGACGCACTTTTCTTGATGAAGCAATTCTAATATACAAGCAACTTAGGGAGGACCCGTATAAGCAGCGGCTCTCAGCAGCCATGAGTAAAACCCAGTGTGCCACTGTGGGCCTGACCTGAAGCACACCCCAGGGGTGCCGTGGAAATGCTGGAGAACCCACCTGGCCATACAGGTGATAATCAAATTCATAGATCTTGTTGAATTTAGAAAGTCCTTCCCTCTATAAAATAAAACAAAGAAAATTCATAAGCCACATGAAAAAGGATTCCTCAGCATAAAGATCAAGAAAACCCTGCTAAGTAGGAATATTAAAAATGCAAGAGTATTTCCTATAGATAAAGACTAGGCTAAATTACTAACACCATTTATTAAGTGGTCCCTCAAAATAAGCATGGGCCTGACAGAGTCCATAGAGTTTTTATGCTGGAAGGTAACTTTGAGATCAGCTACCACATCTTTTTACAGATGAGAATGGACTTGTCTAAGGTCTCAAGACAAGTTAATGGCAGAGAAAGGATTAGGGCAAAACTCTCTTGATTTTCTCTTTCCTCTCCACACATTTCTACTACCTCCTGGCTATACAAATGTACCAATAAACTGAATGTAGGTAAGTCATTCACCTTTCTGAATCTCAACTTATTGTTGAATAAAGTTACCTCTAAGGTCCCTCCGGCTCTGAAGTCCACTAACACTATGAGACCCAGTTAGGACTAGAATCAGTCTACAGAGCACTTCTTCAGCTGCACTTACAGATGAGTAAGAGCCTCTCTAAGTAGATCCCACCTTCTTCCACAAAGGGGTTGAAAGTACAACTGATCCCTGAACAAGATGGGGGTTGGAGCATCAACCCCCTACGCAGTCAAAAAATCCACATATAACATTTTTATTCTCACCCAAGGTTATTTTTTATTGATTTTTAGAGCGAGAGAAAGGGAGGGAGAGAGAAACATCAATGTAATAAAGAAACATTAATCAGCTGCCCCCTGCACGCACCCCGATTGGGAATTGAACCCTCAACCTTTTGGTATACAGGATAATGCTCCAAATGAGCCACCCGGTCAGGGCCACATATAACTTTTGACTCCCCCAAAACTTAACTACTAGTAGTCTACTGTTGACCAGAAGGCTTACTGATAACCTAAACAGTCAGCACATATTTTGTACGTTAATATGTACTGTACACTGTATTCTTACAGTAAAGTAAGCTAGGGAAAAGAAAATGCTATTAAGAAAATCATGCCCAGCCAGTGGCTCAGGGGTTGAGCACTGACCTATGATCCGGAAGATCAAGGTTCGATTCCCAGTCAAGGCACATGCCCAGGTTGCAGGCTAGATCCCCAGTAAGGGGTATGCAGGAGGCAGCCAATCAATGACTCTCTCATCACTGATGTTTCTCTATCCCTCTCCCCCCCCCACTCTCCCTTTCTCTCTTGGACATCAATAAAAACATATTTAAAAAAGAAAAACTAGCAAGTGTTAGTAAGGATGTGGAGAAATTGGGAACATTGCTAGTGATAATGTAAAATGTTTCGGCCACTGTGGAAAATAGTTTGGCAGTTCCTCAAAAAGTTAAACACAGAATTAACTTATGACCCAGCAGTTCCAGTCCTAGGAACTTACTGCAAAGAACTGAAAAAAGGTATTCAAACGAAAGCTTGTACATGAATGTTTATAGCAGTTCTATTCACATTAACCAAAGGTGGAACCAACTCAAATGTCCAGCAACTAGTGAATGAATAACGAAATGTGATCTAACTAGAGAGTGGAATATTATTCAGTCGTAAAAAGGAACAAAGTATTAATACATGCTACATACAACATGGATGGATTTCAAAAACATTAAGCTAAGTAAAAGAAGCCTGACACAAAAGGCCTCAAGTTATATGACTCTTTTTTATATAAAATATCCAGAATAAGCAAATCCTTGGGGGCAGAAAGCAAATTAGTGTTGCCAGGGGCTGGGAGAAGCAGAGAATGGTGAGTGACTGCTTAATGGCTATGGGGTTTCCTTTTGGTGTGATAAAAAAATCTGAAACTAGATAGAGGTGATGGTTGCACAACATTGTGAATATACTAAATGCTACTGAATTGTATACTTCAAAATAGTTAAATGGTAAATGTTATGTGTACTTTAACACTTGTACATAAAATACATGGCTCCCTACTAATACACCCATGATTTGTCTTCACTACCTCTCTTGCTTAACTCACTGGTTCCTCCTTCCATTCCTAACTTCTCAGTTTTTGTACAAACCAAGCTGTTTCAAGCCATTGGCTGTTCTTTATACATACTGTTTCCACTGCCTGGTAAAACTTTCACATTTCAGCTCAAACATTCATCCAACAAATATTTACTGGAAGTCTCCTGTATTCAAGGCACCATATTAGGCACTAGAAATACAGCAATGAACAAAACAGACATAGTCCCTTTCCTATGGAGCTTAGAGTCCAAGGAGGGGTGGTGAGGGGCATCAAATAAATACTTGCACAGTGCATTATTTAACTGTAATTGGCAGGTGCCTTCCAAACAGAACAGGGTACCATGCCAGCATATCTAATAAAGTGTCCCTCACCCAGTTGTGGGGAGAGGAATTGGAGGAAAAGGTTCCTTGAAGAAGACACGTTTAAACAGAGCCCTGAAGAATACAGAAATTAAGTTAGTCAGATGTAGACAGGCCACTTTCAAGAGGCCCAGAGCCCCACAAGTAGATAAACCTTGGGGCTGGTCACCAGGACCCTTGGCACTGGAAGAAGGTGAAGCTCTCAGCTAGCACCCACACAACCCTGGCTCCTACTCCCACAACTGGAAACAGAGGTCTAAGGGTCCTGGGATTTGAAAGAAAAAAGAACAGGGAACTTCTACCCCATGCTCTCAAAAATGTTTTCCAGAAAACCATTTCAGGACCCGCTTTTTGTTATTTCAAAGATTTTCCTTACAGTTTTTAAGATCTTCGTGTCACCTCCCTTTCAAAACTCTTACTTGCCCCTTCCTTTGTGCCCCAATGTGTCCAGAATACATCTCATCCCTTAGGTGCCTGTCTCTCTGAACTAGTTGGTACCATAGCAGGGACCCTCGTAAAGTAGATGGACTGAATGCTACCTGGGAATGGTCTGGCAGGGTTTCACTGCCAAGTTAAGCAGTTTGGTTCGCAACTTAATCGAGTTTTAGAATTCGGAGGAAAAAAATGTTAAAATACAGATTACCCCAGTCTCATCCCAGGTCTACAGAACAGCCACTGCCCCGGGGGGTTCTGAGGACCAGACCAGTTTGGCAACCGCTGCTGTAGCACGGAGGACCCAAGGTTTTCAAGCAAATGAGTGAAACCTCTTAAATGCACTGCAAAATGCTCATCAGTCCTAAGAGAAGACAGGAGTCCGTTGCAATGGTCTGGGGAGACAGTCAGGACCCACAGGTGCGAGAAGTCGCCTTCATCCGTATTCCCCGCACCCACCAAGATGTCCCGCTCCGTGGGCCTCACCAAGTACAACTGATCAGAAACGCGCCTCCTTACCCGCCTCATGCGACCCCTGGACAGCAGGTCGGCGATCCCCTTGGCCGCGTCGTTTTTCTCGGCCACACAGAGGACTTTCCGCACTCCTCGGAAGGCCACCTCCATGGCGGAGGCGGAAAACGTCCGACCTCCGGGCCGATGCAGACGCCGGAGCGCGCAGCGCGGGACGAGGAGGATCATCCCGCGCGCCCGCGCATGCCGCGGAACTCAGAGGTGAGGGCACCCCGCGCCCGCCCCAAGGGAACTAGAGCCTACGGGAGCCGCGGCGCCGCGGCGCGAGCCCGGCCTCCTCCCACAAGCCCACGGGGCTTCGCCGCTCCGGCCACTAGGCTTTCTCACCACTGCCGCCGAGTCCGCTTCCGTCCGCCTTCTCCGGCCACTTCCGCCAGGCGCGAGGCCACAGGACTGCGAACTACAACTCCCACACTGCCCCGCGCTCCGGGATCCCAGTCCCAACATGTTTCCGCTCCCCCGCTTCATTTCCTTTCTTTCCTCACAGTGGTTAGTTAATCGCTTGGTCCTTGGAGGAGGCTGCTCCACATTCCCTCCCAAGCCTCTCTCTTGGTCACAATCTTTTTCGCTTCCGCTCGGAAGTCTACACGGACGTTTCCGGGTCACGCGGCGCGACACCGTGAGTCATGTGATACCAAGATGGCGGCGCCGCCGTAGCTGCCTTTGGGTTGTGGCGTCCGAGGAGCCGCGACCGTTTCTGCCCCGGGACTGTCGGGTCCGACAAACTCTTGGCTGGTTCCCTGCGGCGGCCTGTAGCCCCAGGTTAGGTACCACGTCAGGGCCGAGGCTGTTGCTATCACCGGTGGGTTCGGGGAAGTCCCGGTGACCTCGCTGCAGGTGCTGTGCGCCGACCGCTCTCGCCAGAGGAGGAGAAGGGTAGTTGGCCTCCCCTGTCTTTGGAACTGCGGAGTTCATGACGCCCGGAAGGCCTTAGAGGAGCTACACCTCTGAGGGGCTGCGGGAGTTGGAGTTCTCGGGAGTGTGAGGCAGCTTAGTACCCCTGACGGCGCAAAGAAGTCAACAAAGACTTGCTTCCTCTTCCAGAGGCCTGGCTCCCCGCGTTGATTACCGCAGCATTCTTTCTCATTTCCTCCTCAATGTTTTCTTCGTATATCTGGAAATATGATCAGCGCCCCTGACGTGGTGGCCTTCACCAAAGAGGACGAGTACGAGGAGGAGCCTTACAATGAGCCGGCCCTGCCCGAAGAGTACTCGGTGCCGCTCTTTCCCTTCACAAGCCAAGGAGCTAACCCATGGTCCAAACTGTCCGGAGCCAAGTTCTCTCGGGACTTCATCCTTATTTCCGAGTTCTCGGAGCAGGTGGGACCCCAACCCTTGCTGACCATCCCCAATGATACCAAAGTTTTCGGTACTTTTGATCTCAATTATTTCTCCTTGCGGATCATGTCTGTGGATTACCAGGCTTCCTTCGTCGGCCATCCCCCTGGTTCTGCCTATCCCAAGCTGAACTTCGTGGAGGACTCCAAGGTGGTGCTGGGAGACTCCAAAGAGGGAGCCTTTGCTTATGTGCACCACCTTACTCTGTACGACCTGGAGGCCCGTGGCTTTGTGCGGCCTTTTTGCATGGCTTATATCTCAGCAGACCAGCACAAAATCATGCAGCAGTTCCAGGAGCTTTCAGCTGAATTTTCCAAAGCTTCAGAGTATTTGAAGACAGGCAACAGGAAGGCCTTTGCTGTGGAACTTGAAAAAAAGCTGAAAGACTTGGATTACACCAGGACAGTGCTGCACACTGAAACAGAGATCCAGAAGAAAGCCAACGACAAAGGCTTTTACTCATCTCAGGCAATTGAGAAAGCCAATGAACTGGCTAGTGTAGAGAAGTCCATCATTGAACATCAAGACCTGCTGAAGCAGATCCGCTCATACCCTCATCGGAAGCTGAAGGGGTCTGATTTGTGTTCTGGGGAGATGGAGCATACTCAGGATCAGCCTGACGAGGCAGCCACTACTTCTAACCCTGATGAGTGTGCTGACACAGACCTTTATACCTGCAGACCTGCCTACACCCCAAAACTCATCAAAGCAAAGTCGACCAAGTGTTTTGACAAGAAGTTGAAGACCTTGGAAGAGCTCTGTGACACTGAGTATTTCACCAAGACCCTGGCTCAGCTCAGCCACATTGAGCACATGTTCAGAGGAGACCTGTGCTATCTCCTGACTAGCCAGATTGACAGAGCACTACTAAAACAACAGCACATAACAAACTTTCTCTTTGAAGACTTTGCAGATGTCGATGACAGAGTGGTAGAGAAACAAGAAGGCATATCCTCTAAGCCCAGTCAAGACAGGCCGCCTTCCAGATCTCTAGAAGAATGTCCAATTCCTCAAGTGTTAATTAGTGTTGGCTCTTACAAGTCCAGTGTGGAGTCTGTGCTGATAAAGATGGAGCAGGAGTTTGGAGGCGAGGACTACAAGGAAGTGGAGGTAGCAGAAATGAGCAGTTTTGACCTCCAGGAAAACTTAGACTACCTGGATATGGATATGAAAGGGAGTATCAGCAGTGGTGAAAGCATTGAGGTTCTAGGCACGGAGAAATCCACCTCTGTGCTGTCTAAGTCTGACAGCCAGGGCAGCCTCATGGTGCCACTGAGCCCCCAGGTGATCCGGAGCAAAGCAGTCAGCCACAGGACCATCAGTGAGGATAGTATTGAAGTCCTCAGCACCTGCCCCTCTGAGGCCCTCATCCCTGATGACTTTAAGGCCAGCTACCCAAGTGCTATTGATGAAGAAGAATCATGTGCAGATGATAGTGAGGGAGCCATCCACTTCCAGGCAAGCATCAGACTGACTGAGCTGGGTGAGCCAGAGGACAGCTTAGAAAACACTTCATCACAAGCAGAATCCTGCTGCATTGGGAAGGAGAGTGACAGTTTGCTGGTGCCACTCACCACTTCAGTGCACACACACTCTGACGAGGATGGAGTAGTGAGCATCCCCCCACAGCACTATAGGCAGAAGGACCAGGGGTTCTGTGTGGACTTTGCAGTGGAAAATGCTAACCCTTCTTCCCGAGACAACAGTTCTGAAAGCTTCCCTGCTTTTGAGCTGGATCCGAGCCACCTGCTGGCTAGCCGGGATATCAGTAAGACCAGCCTGGACAACTACTCAGACACCATGAGCTATGTGAGCAGTGTAGCCTCCACAAGCTTGGACAGGACTCCCTCTGCTCATCCCACTGGCCTCTCTTCTGAAAGGCATAAAAAGAGGGCTGGCCAGAATGCCTTAAAATTCATCCGCCAGTACCCCTTTGCCCACCCAGCCATCTACTCCCTGCTCAGTGGGAGGACACTTGTGATCCTGGGGGAGGACGAGATCATAGTCAGGAAGCTTGTGACAGCATTGTCCATCTTCGTCCCCAACTACAGCTGCTATACTAAACCTGTGAAGCACTGGGTCTCCTCTTCTTTGCACATTACGGATTTTCAGAAGTGGAAGCTTATTGGCCTGCAGAGGTAATTGGTTACAGGTAGTGGGGAAGGGCCCTGTCCACTTAGAGATGAGGCTTCAAATGTATATCCCTCTGGGTGAGGTTAAAAGTTGTTGTGGTAGACCCAGAATCAGGAGGCCTGGCTTCCAGACTGGGCCCAGCACCAACTCTCTATTACTTTTGGTAACTCATTCCCCTTCCTGGTCTTCTGTTTCCTTATTTGTCAGTTATATGAGGGGATTGTAGTTCCTAAGTGATTGTCAATCCTAGTGTGCACCAGCTGTGCCAGAATTATGGGGAGTTTTTGAAAATCACGATTCCTGGGCCCCACTTCCAGAGATTCTGATTCAGTTGGTCTGCGGCAAGGTTTGGGAAAGACTGGACTTCTAGATCTCAGATTCTTGCTAATTCTCAAATTCACACTATGGTGTAAATGACTGACAGATCTGCTTCTGAGAAAGGGCTGTGGTAATAGGAAGGCAGCCATCACTGTCTGGGACATCAGAGGGCTCCAGTAGCTTTCACTCTACTGTCCTGTTTGCCTTTAAAGGCTGTCTTAATAAGGAAATGCAAAAGCCAATTTCTTTTCCCTCTCTTTGAATGCTTTTTATTTCATTTCCTTGTGTTACATATGCTTTAGTAGATTCTTTTTGTTTTTCCAAATTCTGCTTGACAAGTGTCTGACTCAAGGGAATTTTTCCCTCAGTGTATGCACTGTGTTGTTTCCTCAAGTCCCTTCCCTGCACCCCACTTTGCTCACCTGTAAAACAAAGGTTTTGAGCTAGGTGATCATCGAAGCCCCTGCTGACACAGTCTGTGCTTCCCATACCACATAGGAAGGGCAAAAGGAATTTCTTCCACACTGCAGTCAGCCACCGTTTGTTCTAATTTTATGACTTCCTCTTTACATGGTTCCCTAATATCATTAAGGTCACCATCCCAAGTCTCCTTGTGTTCACCCTTCTTACACAAGTCAAGTCACCCGGACTTACTAATCCTTGCTGCATTAGGCTTTTCCCAGGGTTGTGGTGGTGAAATTCAAGCAAGTACCACTTCCATGTCATGACTTGACTCATTAAGAATCTACAGGCCATGCTGGCAAGAGCTGCAGTACCAGCTGGAGGAACCTGAGCAAGGCCACTGCTCTGGAAGAATTTGTAGTTTAGGAGAGAGGGCAGATAGGTGACCAGAGCCTTGCCATACAGGGAGATTAGAGTTCTACCAGTGGGTGCTTTGTGTGTTCTAAGAAAACAGCATAATTAAGTGACAGGTGGAAAGGAGGGAGGGAGACTGGGGAAGGCCTGGGATCTTTGAATGACTTGGAGGGTGTACTTGCCCTTGTGGGGGAAGAGTGACAACATGGGGACTTGGTGGGATGTGGCTATGACACCTGGACAAGCTCATTCCTTGAGCATCATAGGAAACCATTAAGTCCTTGCTTACGGATGCAGAATCTGAGGCTTAGTCGATTAGATGAGTGCACTGACTGCCCTGGCAGGCTCTGTCTTGCCTCCCAGCATCCTGACTCTCTGCTGATGGCACCTCTGTGCCCTGGGGATTATCCGTTCTGTCCCAGGAAGGGAAAGGCTTTTCAGGATTGTGTTTTGCTACTGTTCTTGGTGGAATGATGAGTTGGTGTTCTCTACATGCACACATGCACACTTATACATCGTCTATTCTCCAACTCAATCCCCTCACCCCAACCCTTCAACTTTGACTTTTTTACTTCAAAAGGTGAAGAGTCTAAAACATACATCAATATTTCGACATCAGCTGGCTTTTTGAGGACCAGGCTCAGGACAGTCTTGCCCTTTCCAGAGGCTTTCCCTTAAATTCCCTCCTTAGAATATGCCAGGATGGCAAAAGAGGTTCATTTGTTATGTCAGCTCCACTCTACTCTTCAGTCAGCACTTACTGACTGAAGTGCTCTCTTGAGAAGGATCCAGAGGCCTAGGTTGGGCTGCATTGGAAATCCTGCTGTCATCAATTAATGATGACTCTGTGGGTGCAGGAGAGGGTAGCTGGCAGGTGGGCAGTATATTTGGTACCCTGGATTGGAAGAGGAGATGTGAGGTGGTCTGAGTCCTGTGGCGTCCCTCTCACTGCTCATCCACAGTGGACACTTGGGCAAATCACGCCTCCACTCAAGGTTTTGTTCCCTCCTGAGAAAATAAGAGGGTTGGAATACTGAATATCATGTGCCAAGTATGTATTGAGGGTTATGTGCCAGCTACGGTGCCCAGTGCCAGAATTATAAGGTGAGTCAGCAGCCATGGTGTATCCTGTGACAGGGCGAGCATGGCCTTTCCAGTCAGCCCTCACGTTAGTGCCCAGCTCTGTCACCACTGTCAGCTTGACCTTTCTGAGACTCTTTTTATTGCAGAGGTTGCTGACAAGGCTTACCTTGATTGCAGAGGCCAGAAGGTCCATCACATCTGATCTTTGCCTGAACAGTGTGAGCCCTCCTCTGATATTCTGCTAGGGGCACAGAAAGACTGAGGCAGGCAGGGCTGAGTGTGGCCTGCACTGCCAGACTGCAGAGCCTTGAAGCAGCCCTCCGCAAAAGTGAGAGTCCTCTCAGAAGTGACTGTTGAGATCTTTTCAAGAATCTCAAGTGGGGAGGCGATTACTTCTGTGAAGCTCTTGTGCTCAGACCTCCTGAGTGTGCACATGTGCTGGGAATTGGGAGCATCTGCCTCCAGGGATCCTGCTCAGGCATGAGGAATGGTAGATGGGGGTTGGAGGCCTTGTTCCCTAGGGGACCTGTCACTGGAGGGTCAGCTGAAGGGCTAAGAAGTGGAGTGGGGACTGGATTTGCTATAAATCACCCCCAAAAATTCTGAGAGATGAACAGAAGGTGAATGGTAGACAGGATGTGAAAGTATGAGATGAAAACCCATGGAGTTGTGATCCATGGCTGTTAGAGGGAGGCAGTGGGTGTTCTGAGTTCAGGTCCTGAACTATACTACTAGCTATTTGGGCCAGTCATCTCATTCATTCCCTCAACAAAACTTGTTGAACCTGTCTGTGATGGGGCTTATAGTAGTCCCCATGTGGACCTGGAGGCAGGCACATCAAGGATGTGTGTACAGCCCTCGTGCCGCGCCTGGCAGCCCTCAGAAGTGCTTGGAGTTGTGAATGGATGGTGAGTCACCCCCACAGGCAGGCCCGGCATTGAAACAGAGGGAGCTTGAGGCCCATCTGAGAATCAGCATTAAAGAGTATGAGTAGAAGAGGTGCCTTCGTGTGGTCATGAGCTTCCTATCTGGGGGGGGTGCTCAGCTGTAGAGGGGTTGGCGCCGTGTGCTAAATTAATCTGGAATCGGAGCCCTAATTGTGTGACTCAGGAGAATTTCTTCCCACTCAGGTGCTTTGCCTCCAGCTAAAACCAACTCAGATGATGAACTGTTTTTAAGGACTCCCACTCCAGAACTGCCAGCCTCAGTGGCAGTTTGATTTTTTCCCCCCGCCACCAAAAGTAGGCTCCCGCTGTCTACAGAGTGGGTACAGGAGATGGACACAGAATTAAATCAGTCTCCCATTATTTTAAGTCAAAACCAAAGATTATTGTATTGCTTACTAAACAGTAGTAACAAGCCCTGGACTGTTCGAAAAACAGCTTAGTTCTGGTAGGAAATAGTGCTAGTGTGGGTCAGAGGCCCTGGGTTGAGTTCTGGTTCAGCCACTTTCTTGATCTTGAACAAGTGATGGCTGTTCTTTGGACCTCAGTGTTCTTGCCTGTACAGAGATCACTCCCTGGCTTTGGGAGAGACCATAATGAATTACACAGGCATAGGAAGTATAGTGAGAGGCTCTCGGGTGCCCATGATGTACATCTGAGGGACAGGCCTGGGACTTGCTTCTTCCCGTATCGTCTGGCTGCCTGATAAGTAACTTTGAGGGAAACAGAAATGGAGGAAGAGTTAGAAGGAACAACATTTCAAAGAAGTGGTGCTGCCATAGGTGGGAGTTGGTGGTGGTGTCAGAGCTTTCCTGGGAGAGGCTGGGCCTGAGGCCGGTGTGTTCTGTCAGGCCAGGTGGCTGGAATGGAGCGGAAAGAAGATAAGGTGAGGCCTGGCCCTGTTGCTGTGGCAGCTCCTTGGGCTGGATGTGCCAAGTCTGAGGAGGTGTTTGGCTCATGGCCAGGCCCCCCTGGGCTGGCTACCTCAGGAATGGACTAAGCACACTGGGAATGTGTGGGGAAAGGCCTGCCTCCCTAAGAAGCCGATAAGATGCCTGCAAGCCTGATTTCCCATTGCCCATGGGATGCAGGCCACAGCCCACTGTTCCCTCTATGGTTCTCAGAATGCATGGCTTTTTTTTTTAAAGGTTTTTTTTGTGTGTGTGTGTTTTTAATATATCTTTATTGATTTCAGAGAGAGGAAAGGAGAGGGAGAGAGAGAGAGAAACATCAATGATGAGAGAGTCATTGATCGGCTGCAGCCCGCAACCTGGGCATATGCCCTGACCGGAAATCGAACCCCGATCGCCTGGATCCTAGGTTGATGCTCAACCGCTGAGCCATGCCCAGCTGGGCTTTTTGTTTTTTAATAATTTTTTTTTTTTAAATATATCTTTATTGATTTCAAAGAGGAAAGGAGAGGGAGAGAGATAGAAACCTCAATGATGAGAGAGTCATTGATCGGCTGCAGCCCGCAACCTGGGCATATGCCCTGACCGGAAATCGAACCCCGATCGCCTGGATCCTAGGTTGATGCTCAACCGCTGAGCCATGCCCAGCTGGGCTTTTTGTTTTTTAATAATTTTTTTTTTTTAAATATATCTTTATTGATTTCAAAGAGGAAAGGAGAGGGAGAGAGATAGAAACCTCAATGATGAGAGAGTCATTGATCGGCTGCAGCCCGCAACCTGGGCATGTGCCCTGACCGGGAATCGAACCCTGATCTCCTGGATCGTAGGTCGATGCTCAACCGCTGAGCCAAGCCCTGCTGGGCTAGAATGCATGGCTTTTGTGCCTCTCTGTTTTGCCATGTCTTTGCCCTTGCTCTCACTGTGGCCTGGATGCCCTCCACAGTTCCCAGGGCCCCCCTGTTTTTCAAGGCCCAGTTCCAAGGCCACTCCTCAAGAACCCTCTGGCCCTGGGCCTCTCTTGTGGAGATGGAGACGGAATCCCCATTCACTTGGTGTACTTGGGTTTTCTTGCCAACCAAACCAGGCTCCTGCTGCCCGCTGTGCCCCTGGGTCACCACCTGGAATATAATAGATGCTCAGTAAATGATTGTTAATTATGCAAGATAACATTCGGGAAGGAAAAAATATTATGAGATTACCTTGGTCCCAAGTGACTGTTAGTCCATTTCACACACCATCTTAGGTCCTAACGCAAGCCCTAAATTTTAGTCTATCAGTCTGAAATCTCTGGTCAGCCAGCCATTTGCCAGACTGCAGAGTAATCCCAGTGCTGGGAAAACGGATGTAGAGGAGGGTTTTAAGGAGGTGCGTACTAAGTGACTGCTCTAACCTCCCTCCCTCACTGAGCAAAACCTGCCTGCCTGTCCCTGATGTGCCAGACAGTGGGAGCAGGAGCCCAAATCAGGGACAGTCCTGGGTCTGCAGAAGCTCTTCTCCAGTGGGCAGGACAAGAAGACCGATAGCTGTCACCACACTGGTCAGTGCCAGGCATTCTGAGTACAACTCATTTTGTCTCCACAGTGACCCCATGAGGTAGGAACTATTTATTATCTTTGTCTTACAGATAAGTCTCAGAGAGGTAAAGGAGCTTGACCAAGGTCATAGCAAGGAAGCAGAGGAGGGGATCAGGGAAGGCTGGAGAAGGTTGACATTGACATAAGCCATGTACAAAAGGGAGGGAAGGGTGTCCAGGCCTGTGATTTTGAGGCTCCACAGAAAGCTTGGCATGGTTGAATCATTGGGTTAGTAACAGATGAAGCCTCGGGTCAGCAGGAAGCAGGTCCTACAGGAACTTGTGGGCCATTCAAGGCAGTTGAACATGGTCATGAGGGTGGTGAGGAGCCCTTTGAAGATCATGATGATCAGATTTGCCTTCCAGAAAGAGCCAGTGAGTGTTGGTCAGGTGGGAGCTGGCCTAGAGACAGGAAGCCCCACTCTCAAGCGTTTGTCTCTATCTTCCTGGCCCTTGCCCCTCCTCCTGACCTTGCCTGTGTGTTTCAGAGTGGCATCCCCTGCCAGTGCCAGCACCCTTCACGTTCTGAGCCGCTACAGCCGCTACACGAGCATCCTGGACCTGGACAACAAAACTCTGCGCTGCCCCCTTTACAGAGGCACCCTTGTGCCCCGGCTGGCTGACCACCGTACTCAAATCAAGCGGGGCAGCACCTACTACCTGCACGTGCAGAGCATGCTCACCCAGCTTTGTTCGAAGGCCTTTCTCTATACCTTCTGCCACCACCTGCACCTGCCTGCCCACAACAAGGAGGTAGAGGAGTTGGTCGCCAGCCGTCAGGCAAGCTTTCTGAAGCTGAATCTGGGTCTAGTGAATGAAGATGTCAAGGTGGTCCAGTATCTGGCTGAGCTGCTGAAGCTGCACTATATGCAGGAGTCTCCCGGGACCAGCCAGCCCATGCTCAGGTTTGACTATGTCCCCAGTTTTTTGTACAAAATCTGAGATCAGTCCCAGCTACTGTGACCAAGGCCAGGGGAAGTGAAGGGTTGGCATAACCAAGCAGTCCTCTGAGCTGTTTAGACTTCTGGTATCATCAGTGGGAAGGAAACCAAGGTGGCAGCTTGCAAGTTGGACTTGGGCAGAGGGGGGAGCCTGGCCCTTTCTGAAGGCATCTGGAAGGACAGTAACAGCTCTCTTGTCTCCCTGGTAAGGAACGGCCCCAGGCCTTGGAGGGAGCTCTTGGCTTCCCAAGGACTGGTAGCCAGGGCAGAGGAAAGCCTTGATAGGGCGGCATGAGGGGCATGAAGGCAAAGCCTTGATGGGAGGGACCTGGTGGCTACATTCTTTTCCACTAAACACTTGAATGGCAAAATCAAGTGAAGCAGCCTGTTAACTGGAATGATTTGGTGGAAAACAGGATGGTGGATCATCCGTTGCCTCATTCAGACCCCACCCGAATGGCCTCCTAAAGCCCATCATCCCACGGAAGGCCCCTGAGTGAGTGAGGTGGAGGGGAGAAAACTCTGCCTCAGCTGGACAGTGGAAAATGTACAACCTCCAGGCCCCAATGCTGCAGGGAGAGAGAGCAGTACCCTGTCCCCATCCCCACTTCCTCACTTTGGAAATCGTTCCCATAGGTCAGCAGGAGAGACTGAAGTAGTCACTAGTTCCCAGTTGTCAGTGAGGACTGCTCTTGGAGGTACAGAGCCCAGGAGATAGGCAGGGCCAAGGTGCCATGAAGCCATCACCACTGTGCAAGCGATAAAGAGTCAGCAGCTCTTTGGGGCCTGGTCCAGGAGTTTTTCTGGCCAGAGTGAGTCAGCACTGTCCTCTTACCCAAAGCAACCTTTGCAACCACTTCACTACCTCTCTTGGGGTCTCACAGGCACGGTGACAGCAGAGTTCTGTTCAGCTGACTGATATGGGTAGGCAGCCCAGATAGTGACAACTCAACCAGCAAGGAGGAAAGCTTTCTTGGGTGGCTATCGTCATGGATCTGCTCTGGTAGGTTGCACAGGCCTGGAGTATGCTCACCTCACGGCAGCTCACTTCTGCCCTCATGTGAATCTCCCCACCTTCTCAGAAGGAGATGCTCCCAGGTTCACCCACCACAGCCTCCCTGAGCTGCTTACATAGTTGCCACCGGTATGTAGGTGGAGGGTTTCTTGCAACCTTGAAACTTTTATACCTTTTTAAAAAAAAAAAAAAAAAAAAAA